CCATCTCACAGCCTCGCCGTCGCCATCTCACAGCCTCATCGTTTCAAACCCATCACCACAACCCGTCGCCGTCACAGATACCCACCACCACAACCCGTCGCCGACACATATCCTCGCCGCCATCACCACGGACTAAACCAGATGAAGGCTTGATTTATATCTATACACACACACTTGATATTATATATATATATATATATATATATATATAAGGAAGAGTGAGGAAGATAGGACTTTCTGCATTTTGAGTATCTGGTCATTTTTAGATTTTTTTTTTTTTTTTGAAGTGACTAACATAACTTTTCGGATTAATGTTGTTTTCAAAAATTAATCCATTCAAGCGTTAAGACTTATAATTAAAATTTTATATAAAAAGTGAATAAGACAATTTCAACCCTGTAATTTAGTGATATATTGTTTTTTACCTTTTAAAATAAATAGTTAATGTTCCAGTTTTTAAAGGGCAAAGTTGGTGTGGAGTGTATTGAAAAGTAGGATCGAGTATTAGTCAAATAGACCATGGTTTTGCCCTCTGACCATAGTTTTGCAGCAAGAAATAATAACTGGGCCATACTTTTTATGCTTAAGTGTGCTGGGCTCATCCAGAGTACTTGAAATCTACAAGTTATTCAAAAACCCACCAGAGATCTCCATTGCTGAAAAGAGCTTTCCATCTGAAATTCTAGATGATGATTAAAATGGGCTTATTAAAAGCCCATATGCTTGGGTTTGGTTAATCGTTGGTTTTGTAAAGTATAGCCCATTGACCATTATTCGAGATGGTACGGAATATTCCATCCTTTTGTTTTTCTTTTTAAATACTAATTGAATTCATAAATTAATTTTCCAAACTGACTAATCAACTAAAAATTATCACCCTAATAAAATTGTCTCAGGTTTGTCATAATTATATGAAACTCGCCTTTTATCTGAAAATTACATTAATTTTTCCTATGAAATACTTTTTACTATTTTGTAAATGGTATATGCAAGATTATACAACTAAATCTATGAGCAATAACCTAACTGGTACAAACTCTCCTTTTCTTCGAAAGAGAAATTGGCTTAGAATATGGATGTAAGGATGTTGTTGTTGTTGTTTTTTTAAATAAAATAGGAAATTAAATGCAAAACTCTACAGGTCAAAAGAGTTTAATCCAATTCGTCCAAATATTAAAATAACACATTTCTTCAGTGACATCCAACTCAACAGCCAAGGTCAGAAATTCAAATTCAAAATAACACTTAAAAACAAATTAAAATTAGGGTAAAGTGTATTAAACCCCCCTAAATTATTGGTCATTCATAAGAAATTCCCCTGAATTATAAAAAACTCCCCTGAACTATGATTTTATTGCAATTTACCCCCTTGAACTATTGGTCATTTGCAAGAAACCCCCCTGAACTACAAAAAACCCCCCTGAACTATGATTTTGTTGCAATTTACCCCCATGACATCAACTTCCGGTACCGAAAATTTTGAAAGACCAGTTTACCCTTATAACACGTACACTGCGTCGTTTTAACTTATACACTTCTTTTTTTTTTTTTCTACCAAAAGATGTCTTTCACCCAACACAACTCAAAATTGAGAGCTAGAGAGAGAGAGAAGAGACCAAAGAAATCCGAGGTCGGCGGGATGGCTCGGTCTCGGATGATGGCTGCTTGTGCGTGGAGGACTCGGCTATGATGAGAGCTTGGTTGACTCGGGCGCGAACTGTGGAGGCAGCGGCAAGCTCAAGGGGGCTCGGCGGTGAACTGTGGACAACTGTGTGCTCGAAACACGGACAGCGATGTGCTCGGCTATGCAGATGGCGGAATGGGCCGGCGAGATTGGAATGGACCGGCGAGCAAGGTGAGCTGAACAGCAGGCAAGGCGGTGACGGCGATGGGCTGAAACAACGGTGCAAAGAAGTGCGATATATATGATCGACGGATCCGGCTAGTGGTGCAACAGTTATGATGGAGCTATGACAGGAGACCCACCAATCTTAGCAACAAATTCCTCGGCTTCATCGTCCCTTTCAGTCAATCAATTCGCGTGGATGGGGTAAACTACAAAAAAATATATAATTCATGGGTTTTTTTGCACATACCCCAATAGTTCAAGGGGTTTTTTTGCAACCTTTATAGTTCAGGAGGGGTTTCTTGCACATATCCCAATAATTCAGGGGGTTTAATGCACTTTACCCTTAAAATTAATGCAATTACAAAGGAGTCATAGACTCATAGTTAGTAATTCAAATTCAAAACCCGAAAATGCCAAATACCAAACAACTAAACTTTTAATTCGCTAATCCGTAATGAAAAATGTAAAATAAAATAAGGTAAAGCATAAAAAATTCTCCTCAACTTGTAACATTTTTTACAAAACTCCTAGTCTAATTTTTTTTATTAAAGAATCCCTCTCAACTTGTAACATTTTCTAATAAATCATTATTGCCTAATTTTTTATCAAAGAACCCCATTCAACTAAAAGAGTTTATATTTGGATAAAAATTATCTTTTATTTAAATTTTAATTTTTTTGAACTTAAAAAATTCATATCTCACAAACCGTACATCCAAATATTGAAAATAATATATGTACAGAAAACTTATAAAATAAGGATTCTAGAAGTATAAGATTTGTTTAACAAAACTTCATAACCAGAGAGAAATAGACAATCTAAAAATCTACTATAACAATCTTATTTTATTTTAATTCTTAAAAATAATTGGGTTATTTGTAAGAAAATTTCCAAAATGATTAATTTTCATATGGAGTATAACATATAAAAAAGCCTCAATAGATATTGAATATTCATTTTGAAAATTTAAACGAATTGTGAGGCTATAAAAAAAATGAAAATACTTTGACGCAAAATATTATATCTCGTGAAATTGATCTTTTTTAGGGCTAAATTTTTTATATATTCTTCTTCATATGTAAATGAATAATTCTAAAAATTTTATTGCAAATATTTTGAGTAAGATTGTTGGAGTAGAATTTTAGATTACTTATTTCTCTCTGATTATGAAGGTTTGTTGGACAAATTTTATATTTCTGGAATCCTTATTTCATAAACTTTCCGTGCATATATATTTTTACAATTTTTAAATATATGTACGGTTTGTAAGATATGAATTTTTAAAGTTTCAAAGAATTAAGATTTAAATAAAAGGGTATTTTGGTCCAAATCTCAACTCTTTTATCTCCTAGATGGTTGAGGGGGTTCTTTAGTAAAAAAAAAAAAAATTAGACAAGGGAGAGTGTTCTTTGATAAAAAAAATAGATAAGTGGGATTTACTAAAAATGGTCGAGAACATTTTTTTATACTTGGCCCAATAAAAAATACTATATAAAAAAATTTAAATTATTTTAAAATTTTGACAAAGAAAACCACCAACTGTATTTGCAAAATGTACTTTCTACTGTATCAGTATTCAGATTGAAGTCTCTCGTCCTGTACATATGCCTATTTTTAGTGTATTTTGTTTGCTTCTCGCCTAACTGCCTTTTACGTGTACTAACTAGCAATAAACCCCGAAAAGTCCATTATGCATGGATGGGTGTTGCGGTCAATACAGACAAGTAGAGGCTTTTGGCTTTTTGGTCCATCACCGGTAAGGATGGGGCAATTTGGTCAATTACTAAATAGTATTGAGGAGTAAGGAGTTTAGGAGCCAGCTCACTTTTCCTTTTTCGTTTGGATGTCCAACAAATTTTCCTTTTTGTGTAGTTACTGATGTATCCTATACTAACTTCAAAATTGATTTTTTTTTTTTTTTTTTTTTTTTTGAAAATTAACTTCGAAATTGATTTTAGTTGTGCTATATAAATGGGTTCTCATTAGTCTCCAAAAACTTCACCAGACGTGGTTTTCCCTCCTCTCGTAATGACAAATTTACCCCCTAAAGTTATACTCTTTTTCTTTATTTTTATTATTATTATTATCAATATTTATTTATTTATTTATTTAAAAACAATGAATCTATGCATTATGAATATTAGTCTTAAAATTTACTAGTATTTCAAACTCTAACTTGAGCGCGAAGACATTGCAATTTATTTGTCAATGCAACCCTGTCAAGACAATTAATTGCATAATCAAGTTGGGATCAGTTATTGTCAGCATAGGATATTGGAGACAAAAAAAAGTTATTGAAGATTATAGTAATCCTAATAAATAAATGTAACAGATAAGATAAATAAATAAAAAAACAAAGAAAAGATCGAGTGTGAAAAGAAAAAATAACCTTTTCTTGTTTTCACGTGGTTGACCAAGGAGAGAAATAAATGCGTCTTTTATTATTTTAGGATTATTTTCTTACCCTTTAAAGAATACGTAGTATTATATTTTAAAGGATATAAAATCGTGAACTTATATTAAAATATTTATAACATTTATTTTAAAAAATCTAATAATTATTGTGGTCCTTCATGTATAGGTTAACTATTTAGAGACTTAAATCATTAATTTGCATGGTCTACGTGTGTGTATTTTTAGAGTTTCAAATCATTAATTAGCGTGGTCTATATATATGTATATAAATGGACTGATTGGAGACTCAATATTCATACAAAATATCTCACATTAAATTTGTTTCATCAAGTTTAGTATTGTTCTAATAAATATTAGTTGCAAAAATCTATCACAAATATATTTGAACTCGAAAACATACACATTAAAACTTTTTAAATCCTTGCAGTACTGTCATTGGTATTAATTACGGCCAACGAAATGCCAAACAAAAGATAAACTTCACTTACCCAAAAAAACACAAGAGATAATCGCTATTTGCAACAGACTCATACTAAAGGCCACTCATAATGGTCCCCACACACTACACAACATAATCTAATCATAATAACATAGCGACAGAAATTAAAGAGAGGGTAATATAAACCCGCAATTACATTAGCGGGAGAAGGGCACATGCGTCAATCTAATTAAAGAGAGGGTAATATAGTCATTGCAGCTTTAAAATTTGTTGAAGCCTAGTGCGAAAGATGAAAAAACATGACGCATAAAAGAGAGGCCCTTTCGTCGTCTCCCCTCTCTCGTTGGCTCTTTGTCTTCTATATTTTTTCTCTCCCTGATCTGTAACCTCCGAAACGCTAAAGGTCATGACCTCTCTAAAGTTATTTACGTCTCTCAGAAACCTCCAAAACCCCAATCAGTCCAATGACTTGTAACTAAATTTGATTCTCTATAAACATTTCAATTCAAAGCTCTTTCACTGATCTCTCTCTAAGTTTGCAATCTCTGAATTCGTGAACTACACATATATATAGATATAATTATCTATTCGAATTCACTGTAATGTCTGGTTCGGGAGGCTTCGCCGTGTCTAGAACCCACGGCGGAGACCGTTTCTACAACCCGCCGCCGGTTCGGCGGCACCAGCAGCTGTTGCTACAGCAGCAACAGTTGCAGAGACAGCACCAGCAACAGCGGCTTCAGAGAATGGTGAGCTCAGAAGCGCCGCCGGTGCAGGAGAACCGGACTGAGTCGGACGATTCGATGACGACATTGTCGAAACCTCCCTCAGTCTGCTCATCTTCGCTTCCCAGACCGCCACCTACTGTAACAAACTTGGATCGTCTAATGGAATCTGTCACTCCCTCCGTTCTCACTCAATGTTTCTCCGAGGTATCCAAAAATCAGTGTTTTTTTTTTTTGCTGTAAAAAACCCTAAACCTTTTGTTTGGTTAAGGAGAAAATGTAGTAGAAGGAAACTGATTAAAATTCTGAATCTTTTGTTATTTTATTATTTGGTATCGGTATAACCATGGTCCTCTCTTCTGCTGAGACAAATTCAATTGTTTTTCTCATTTTTGATGAGTCTCCCGTTTCTTGAAAAACCAAATTAACGTTATGCCTAATTTCAAAATTTCATTTCTTGAAGTTTCTCAGCAACTAAACAATGCAATAATACGATTGACATGTTTATTGTTTTTCTTGTGGTCCTTTTGTATTTTAGTTGCTAATCGTTGGAATTTTCGATTTGCAGTCAAGTGGAAGGGATTGGAGAACTCATGAAGCCGAGTTGCAGCCGTTCTATTGCCTTGAGGATCTGTGGGAATCTTATAGAGAGTGGAGCGTTTATGGAGTGGGAGTTCCTCTGCTGTTGAACGGGAAAGACTCTATTATGCAGTATTATGTTCCCTTTTTGTCCGGTATACAGTTGTACATAGACCCACTGAAGCCTCTTACCAGGCTTAGGTGAGCCAATTTATATCCTTCTTTCTTATGTTAACTGATCTCTCGTTAAATTTAATTATATTCTTCTTTTTCTCAGTTTTCTTTTTACTTGTTTCGATTATTTTTATTGTGGCCAATTGGGTTTCAGACAAACTTGCTTCTGTATTGAATTTTAAGGTAAACTTCATTGCTGATTAGCATTCATTCATTCACTTCTTTATTATGCATGTCATTCTGGCGGTGGCTTTATGTATTTTCTTGTCCGTACATTTTGCTTGCTATAGTGATTACTGTGATTCATCTTTGCTGCTTCTATTATTGTAATTTTAATTGATGCATGATGAATAAAACATGAACTTGGGCTAATTTTGCTATAGGAGGGCATTGCAGTGCTGGGCACAATGCTGACTCCTTCAACCCCAAGTGCTGAGTTAGACCGGCCAAAATCCTATTAGGTCACAACTTAGTTGGGTATTAAATGAATTCTAAATGAAAGGGCTCATATTTCATAGTGTTGTTGTGGCCCGAATACCGCCCCGGGTCACTTTTTGACCCGACGACCCGATGATTGACCTTTGTGTGGGACCAAGCCATTTTGACCCATATTTATGCTTGCGGATCATGGACCCTGTTTAGTACTCTCTTTTAGCATGATATATAAGGGTGTTTAGAATTTGGTGTGGGATATTGAGAGAGACTGAAAATTGCAAAAAAGTGATAGCTAGGGTTTGGGGGTTGAAATTTCACATAGTGAAACCTTTTGCCGGATCTTCACTGTGGATGTAAACACGACTTGTGTCGAATCACGCTAATTCTTTGTGTTCTTTGTTTGTGGTGTGCTTATTTTTTTGCAGTTTTTTATGTGTTTGCTTCTTTTGCCTGGTGCCCTTCAAGTAACTAACTCATGTTGGCATAATTTTCATGCATTATTTTTATTTTTTGTGGAGCAAATATGTAGGTGGATATCAATTGTCATCCTTGGAAGATTGATCATCAATACTAATTGATGGTATATGATCTTTTATGGTCAGTGGCACGCAACCATATGACGTCAAAGCTACTAAGATTAGCCCTAATAAACATCCTACATACACCCCGTTTGCGGAAACACATTAACACATACACACCTTTGAATGGAACCCTTCGAGGATCCATAAACTCGCAATTCTTCTATTATATTTGTTAGCAGGACACAATTAAAGAAAATGGACAAAAAGTCCATTTGAAGCTCCATCGGGCCCAGCCTCCCACAGGCAATTATGAGCCGTTTTGAAACAGTAGATCATAAATTTCAAAAGTTGAGTTGTCATTACAAGGAATATTCTTTGCGGATAATATTTGTTGTCGATATTAAAGCCTTTGAGGGTTTCATATCTATGGATAAGCTTCAATGATGTAATCCATGGTTGTTTCGGTTACGTCAACACCTGAACATCCTCGAGGACCTCCTCTTTTTTATTAGCCATAAGGAAGACTTGAAGACCCTCGAGAAACTCCTTTGTATGGATAAGTCTCGAAGATGGCTGCAATACTTTCATGAACCTCCTCTCCATGGATAAGTTTCGAAGAAGACCACAAGACTTTTAGGAATCCGCTCTTTACGGATAAGTCTGAAAGAAGACTGCAAGACCTTAAAAGAACTTCCTCCCTTTGAGCGTTTTTAATAAATTCTTACTTATCAAAAAAAAAAAAGAACTTCCTCCCTATAAATAAGTCTCAAGAAGACTACAAATGGTGGGAAGCATAACATTTTGTCCCTCAAAATTCCATTTATTTATTTTTTTTCTATTCTAGGGTACGCCAATTGAAATACCCAATGCCCTTTTCATTCCTTCCTCAGTTACTTTCTATGCAACCACATAATATGAAGAAAATGCTCCTTTTCATAATAATTGCTCTTATCTTGGAACATTTACTTAAGAAATATTCAATATGGAAAAAATTTCAAATAAGTTTCCATAAACTTTATCTATGCTCCATTTCTATTTTTTTTAGAGCTTTTGCTCTGTTGTTATCTCAATGTGAGATTATCTATCCAGTTTCCGCTACGTCAGTTGGTATCAGAGCATGCTGGACACTTCTGCACAAACTTGCCAACCTCACGTTTCAAATTTGGCTAGTAGTAACGCTCCTCCACCGGTGCAATTGTCTTGTCTCAGGTGATAAGTCAAAATAGTGGGATTCGGCTCTTCCACATATCGAATTTGCCTTCAACAACATGGATAATCGATCCACTGGAAAATGCCATTTGAGATTGTCTATATTAATGCCCTAAGGCATGCCTTAGATTTGGTTCCACTGTCCAAAATTCCAGGATTAAGCATTGCAGAGAATATGGCTGAAAGAATCCAGACTATTCAAGTTGAAGTCAAGAAGAATTTGGGGTAGTCCAATGCCAAATATGGAGCTGATGCTGACAAACATAGGCGAGCGAAAGTATTCCAAGAAGATTACCTTGTGATGTTACACTTGCGCAAAACCAGATTTCCTGTCGGAACGTTTGGCAAGTTGACAAGCAAGAAGTATGAACCCCTTTGCATTAAGCGAAAGATGAATGATAACGCTTAAAACACGACAATTTCTAATACCTTTAATTTTGCGGACTTGTTCGAATATCATCATCTTGATGAGCTGCTTTATCCGCAATTAAACTCGAGGACGAGTTTTTCTAAGGTGGAGAGGATTGATGCAAAAAAATGTTTGATAATATATATATATATATATATATATATATATATATATATATATACACCCCATATATTTCCTCCTATTACTACATAATATATGGGGTATATATATATATATATTATGTAGTAATAGGAGGAAATATATGGGGTCCAGGTGTAAAGAAGGAAAAAAGGTGATTTAGTGCATGTGTGCAAACACACACACACATATATGTAGCACATGATATATATGCGTGTGAGAGTGAAAATGACAGGAGTGCATGTGAGGCCATAAATAGTACTTTAGAAAGCTTTTTTCATGTGAGTGTAATAAATGGCAGCAAAATGAATAGGAAAGTAGTTTTGTAAAAGTCAGTGATTGCAAGTTTGTAGAATCGCTATAGTAGTGCTAAAGGTCGGATCATTGGTGTAAGCTAGCATATAAATATGTATGATGTATTGAATTATTGAAGAGATAATGAAAAGTGAAATAACAAGAAAACTTAAATGTAACATTTTTTTATGTTGTTATCCATATCTATCCAGCTTCCGCTACGTCAATCTGTTTATGTAAGGGTTAAGTGGTGAGGAGTGTATAATATTGTCTAATGGGATGGACGTTTTGCTTATATGAGCCTCAAGGTCTAAGCAGTAATATGTCTTGTACATTGTTGAAGTTAAGGCGTAACACATTTTAGTTAAGTTGACAAGAAAGTGTTTTTCCCTCAATAAGTAAAGATGGCGAGAAAGTAAAGGGTTCTATGTGATGTTTTTGCCAAATATTCCATATCTAGTGTTTTATATTTAATAGGATATGTAGCTAACGGGGATAGATGCATTTTAAAACCTATTATATATGTTCTAATGGTATTATTCGTTTTCTATTGAGTAAATCATACTTTTTTTCCAATCTAGCCTTCAACTCAAATAGTATATCTTCTTTCTCCCACATTGGGGCTTGAGGTTCAAGTCCCGATAGGAATAGTTGTGGGTGCAAGTGTATCTTACCTACTAAAAAAAAGGGTAAATTACACTGACCTCCCCTGAGGTTTGAGCAAATTACGCTCGCATAGACCATTTAACGTTTATAACTTTGATCTCTCCTAAACTCGTTCGCCGGTTGTCAGTAATTGACTTTGAGTGTGAAAAGTCCATAATGCCTTTACATTATAATAATATATTATATTGCATTTTATACAAGCGAAGGGCAAAATTGTCCGGGGAGGTCAAAGTAATAAATGCTGAATGGTCTACCCGTGTGTAATTTGCCAAACCTTAGGGGAGTTTAGTGTAAATTACCCTAAAAAATCATATTTTTCTTGCAAAAAGTCATGTGCTAACATAATTTTAAAATTTATTGCATGGAAAGAGGAAAACCATTTTAAGTTTTGTAATTATTACCTTAACCTAGTAGATGATATTCCACAATGGGAATTGAATGAGCTCTATTCATCAAAAAAAGACGTGGGAGCAAGATAAGATCTAGTGAGTGTATATATACATATACATATATATATTATATTCAAGATTTAAAACTTGATCAATACGGGTCCGCCGTTCCTTTTAAGGCCAATTAAGCAATTCCTCCCTTTCAAATAAAGTGAGTTACTTGTATTCGATGGTTCTAGTTTTCATTAATGCAGGCCGATTGGCATTCCAAAAAGGCCCTTGGGAGAAACCAATTAAAAGCTAGGTATAGCCTTCAAGCCAGGCACACCGGTTATAAATCTGCGGGCATAAAAACATGGTCGTAGAAAACTACCAACAAAAAACTAGAAAATAATAGTTATTGATGTTGTAGTTGGTATAGCCCCCCTTTAACCCTCTTTTTCCAATTTGGAGTTTGGCCCTTTAACTAATCATATTAGAATAAGATCGCTAATCCATATAGGTCAGGTTCTATGTATGTTTATATTCCTTAGTTTGGGATAGGAAGTGGGGTTCCAATACAATATACTTAAATCGGAGAGTCGTAAGAAGAGGGGCCTAGATCCCGACCAAAGAAGGATGTTCGTGTTGGATTCAACCGCCCAATCCCGTTCTTAGGTTCAAATTGAACATTCATTCAATCCTGACCTTCATTATGACTTATGGCCTAGTGCATGATAAGTTGTTGGATTCCCCTTTCCTTTCTATTCTTGGTACTAGAGATAAATGAATTCCTTATCCCTGAAAGTTAGAAGAATTTTGTTTGTATTGTTGGAGTTCATGAAGGTAGGTCGTAAAGTAAAGGGTGACAAAATTAGTAGGTTACAATTTAATGGCCGACAAGTTAGGTTATTTACTGTAATAAAATTTAAGTCGAACTCTCTATATTCCTTATGTGTGGACAAAAAGTCCTACAAATTTGTGATT